CAATGAAAGTCCATTTTGATAACGGTATTGGTGTGTCGCTGTACAGTGCAGTATTTTTCAGACTTGATATTAATACTACATGGTGTATTTGGAATGATATCGGCCAGAAATGAGAGATAATGTGTGTGTATTCCGTATTTAGGCTTAGGGCTGCATTGATAGTGGACATCAGAGTGATATTTGATATGATTGTTTAGTATTTTGATATTATTGACCCCGTGCATGTGACGTCCAGGCCACGCCCACTCTCCATGACAGACGGCAGAAGTCTAACTGCGAGCCTACGGAAACTTGACCAAAACAACCTGTTTCACCAAATAACAGCCAGAACTGTGATATTGTGCAGTGCGGTTGGTTTTACAAACAGGACATAAGCCAAATGTGTCTTTTTATCGGACACCTGCTCGTCATGAAGACTCAATCAACTAAAAAGACTGGGAGCCATTCAAGTACTCCCTAATTTACAGTAAACACTTTATACAAGATAAATCAATCACAATTTGATATTTATTTTCTTTCCATACATTTATTTGGAGGACAATGACACGAGGAACGCTTAAAGTCAAACGTGTCTCTTACTACTGTCCTGTCTGTGCGCTGCAACATTGACATTTCCCGACTGTGCCACGATTAAAGGATCTCTTATCTTAGACGTCAGTTGCGTTTTTCACTATTTTCCTCCGCGTCAATATGTTTCATGTTTGGCTGTAGACAGAAATGTGCATTGCTAATGTGCTAATGCTAATGTGCTAATGCTAATGTGCTAATGCTACCGGCAAAATGTACATATAAATCTGCTCCAGTGTGAGGGGATGTTAAGGACATAATGATAAAGACCATGTGGGGTGAACTCGGGCTAAATTGGACATTTTTGGACATTCTGTGCATGCTTTTCTATTTGTTATTCATTTTGTGTGATGTGAGTCTTCATCAGCAAAAGATGATAATACTTTTATCATTGGATATCAGCAAAGCTCTCCAGGGGAAAGTCTCCAATCTTTTCCCCTGGAGAGCTTCTTTATTTGGGAAAAAAATGGCGGCGAGCTCCTTTAGAAAACTGTGTGAATCTAGTGCGTCTTAAAAACATTGATTATACTCTGTCACTACAGGAGTCATTTAGTTGTGAGCTTGTGACTAAAGGAGTAGCTCCATCTCCTTCGCCTGAGACCCTGGTTTATTTATTTATTTATTTATGTTATTTATTTATTTATTTATTAGTTTGTTTATTTATTTATGTATGTATTTATTTATTTATTTATTTATTCATTTATTTATATTTATTTATTTATTTATTTATTTATTTATTTGTTTCAATTGTAGACAAAAACAATACTACACATATTACAATTACATTTCAAAATAATTGTCGTCTTGTCTCACAAATGAAAAGGAGCAGAAAGAAGAAAAAAAATCTTATGTTGCCTGCCCCTTTCTTCATACATGTACAAATTAAATTAAAAAAATTAAAAAAATTAAAAAAAGAAAAAAATAAGATGGCCTTTAGCTGGTGGTTGGTTGGATGGTTTAGACCTAGACTAGACTCTTTAATCCTGGAACGACCTGATTCAGTCTGGTTCCTTTTGTCTGGTTTTGCTGTTTTGCGTCACTGTGTCAAATGTCCCCATAAATTGTGGGTGACTCATGCAGCTGATAGCGATTCTTCACATCCGTCATCCTCCAGCATCATGTCTGTGCCCTTTTGTCTAATCCAATGGGCAAGGCAAGTTTATTGGTATAACACAGCACACACAGCTACCTTTATGAACTCAAAGTGCCTTAAAGACCTTATGCCGGGTTTAAAAAAAAAAAAATTTGTGGGTATCAAAATTGCATGACACTGTCGATCTGAAATAGATTCCGGCAAAAAAAATCCTATATTTTATAAAAAGAACGTGTTTTTCATGAATTTAAGCTGTCTATGCTCTAACCTGTGTGTGACGTCACAGCGGGTAACGCCCATGCATTGAAAACCATGGATCTATGCCACAGGACTGCCTTTTCTCTCTTCTCTCCACTGATGCCCAACACAATACTGCCCTCTACAGGTGACAATTGCTCACTACACATAAATTGCCGTTTTGAGAGTGAAAAAGTGTCCGAGGTGGGATTTGAACCCCAGTGTCTGCATTGGAAGTGCATCGACACAACCACTGGACTATCTCAGTGACCAGGAAATGTGACATTCTAGTATTTATGTCAGACTCGCTGTACACAGCCTTGTCATCTTGAATATCCACGAAAAAAGAACGAATACCAAATTGAAAACAACTTACAGCGTTGAAACGTACCCGTTCTGACGTCACCAAGGGCTGTGAAGTTTTTTCGTTTCTAAGGGCGTTGCTATGGGGTTATTTCGATTTGTTGGGATCAGACAAAAAAAACAACAACTGATTTTGAAACCTTTAGTAGTTCTCTTCTAATATAAAATGGTATTAAAACTGTATTTCTAAATAAATCAAACCCGTCATAAGGTCTTTAAATCATAAATAATTCTCATCATATTCCAGTTAAAATAGACACAGCAGGACAGTCCTGTTTTCAACCTGGATTTGAACATTGTCAGAAAAGAAGTCACATTTTCACGATGACTGTTCCAGATTTGGGCTGCATGAATCTGATAAGTTTGGTCTTACTGGTTTGCTAAAGCTTTACTCAAAACAGCGCATCGCATTGTTGGGAAAAACACCTAAAATATAAGTAAATATGTTTTAAAATACATAAGTGAACGCATCTAGACCAGTGGGGGCGGGTCCAAAATGGCGTCCGCTGACATGCTGCAATACCACCCCGGGCCTGTAGGGGTGGACCTGGGATAAGATACAGTATATACCTCTCAAAAACACTTACAGGATGAGGGGAGTGTATTTCTTTTGGACCACTCTTGTTTAGTCGCTGTAAAATGTTGAATGGGGCTTTCACATTTTCCAGCCCCGCGGCCATTTTGAAAGTGCCCATAGTCTACGTTTATTGTCTCGACTGCACCATGATTAAAGCTGGGGGACCTAAACTCGTTACTCGCTTCTATCACTCATTTTCATGTATTTCTGGCCTTTGTCACATCAGCTTTTTGTGATAGAAAACTGATAAAGAGAGAACCACCCTCACTGAGCCCAAAGAGTCCAATAGTGACTCACAGGGATATTTCTTACAAAGATTTTACAGATTTTATCATTTTGTATTTTGCGGTTTTAAAGTTACGTACCCCGACTTGTTTACCAGGCCAGTGTAGGACTGTATAACTACGGCTCAGTAATAGTAATAGTCATTTTATCAAACTCTTACTATTGGGACAAACGACATGATTGTATTTGGAAAGAAAAGCCAGGTTCCCCAACTTCTGAAATCCAACTGATGTTTGACACTAGGCTTTTTTGATATATATTTTTGAACATATTGTCTTTTGTGTGGTCCCAGCCGTTCTCTGGAGATCAGATCGAGGACTTCAGCAACGACCTCTTCAGCAGTTTCTTTGACGACCATCTCCTCGAGCGGCCGTCTGCAAACGGACGACCTGCAATGTTGCAAATAGACATGGACACCAACCCAGGTTTGTGCTGCTACTGCTACTGCTGCTGCTACTGCTGCTACTGCTGCTACTGCTACTGCTACTGCTGCTGCTACTGCTGCTACTGCTGCTACTGCTGCTGCTACTGCTGCTACTGCTGCTACTGCTGCTGCTACTGCTGCTACTGCTGCTGCTGCTGCTGCTGCTACTGCTACTGCTGCTGCTGCTACTGCTACTGCTGCTGCTGCTGCTACTGCTACTGCTACTGCTGCTGCTACTGCTGCTGCTGCTGCTACTGCTGCTGCTGCTGCTGCTGCTACTGCTGCTGCTACTGCTGCTACTGCTGCTACTGCTGCTGCTGCTGCTGCTGCTGCTGCTGCTGCTACTGCTGCTACTGCTGCTGCTACTGCTGCTGCTGCTGCTGCTGCTGCTGCTGCTGCTACTGCTGCTGCTGCTGCTGCTACTGCTGCTACTGCTGCTGCTACTGCTACTGCTGCTGCTGCTGCTGCTGCTACTGCTGCTGCTGCTGCTACTGCTGCTACTGCTGCTACTGCTGCTGCTGCTGCTGCTGCTGCTACTGCTGCTGCTGCTGCTGCTGCTACTGCTGCTGCTACTGCTACTGCTACTACTGCTACTGCTGCTGCTACTGCTGCTGCTACTGCTGCTGCTGCTACTGCTGCTGCTGCTACTGCTGCTGCTACTGCTGCTGCTACTGCTACTGCTGCTGCTGCTGCTGCTGCTACTGCTGCTGCTGCTGCTACTACTGCTGCTACTGCTGCTACTGCTGCTACTGCTGCTGCTGCTGCTGCTGCTGCTGCTGCTGCTGCTGCTGCTGCTGCTGCTGCTGCTGCTGCTGCTGCTGCTGCTACTGCTGCTGCTGCTGCTACTGCTGCTGCTGCTGCTACTGCTGCTGCTGCTGCTGCTGCTGCTGCTACTGCTGCTGCTACTGCTACTGCTGCTGCTACTGCTGCTACTGCTGCTGCTACTGCTACTGCTGCTACTGCTGCTGCTGCTGCTGCTGCTACTGCTGCTGCTACTACTGCTGCTGCTGCTGCTGCTTTTGCTGCTGCTACTACTTGTTTTAATACATTTTGCTACTGCTGCTGTTGTTAAACAGGTTGACTTGCTTCAATGTATGAAACGTGTTATAAATACTGTACATATACATTTCCTCCCTTTCCTAGTGTTGTATCTGTGAGACAGTCTTACGTATTCTCAGCTAGTAGTCTCCGGCAAATCCAGTTAAACTAAAGCTAGTCACCTTCCATGGGGCGGACTCTTCCAGGGCCTCAGCCTCTGGACTTATCTGCAAGTCACAGAGAACTGCCCAAACTAACACTACACCAAACAAACGTTCAACAATCCTTTGGCATGAGAAGTTATTTTAAACCCATATATTTCGCTGCAGATGTCCAAGCTGAACACAGTTACTCTGTGTGTGGAGACTCCGCCCCCCAGAGCCCCGCCCTGTCCGTCATCCAGGACCAGGAGGCGGGTACGTTCAAACACGGAAACCCACCGATGCATGGGCGTGCGCAGACAGAGGCCTTTACGCACGTTCACTAAATAGTTGAAAATAGTCACTGAGTTGACTGTAGAATGTCAACGCAAGGTGAAGACACGTGTTCACAAGCACTGACCCCCGTTGTCGGCCCTGGTTTAGTCCTGGTTTAGCCCTGGTTTAGCCCTGGTTTAGTCCTGGTTTAGCCCTGGTTTATTCCTGGTTTAGCCCTGGTTTAGCCCTGGTTTAGCTCATGTTTTGGTTGTTTTCGAATGTCTCTTTATTTTCCTGTTTGGATCAGCATATGTCCCCATGACCACTTTGCTGCTCTCTGATTGGCTGCCGCACGACATTAGCCAATCAGGATGAACGTGCAGCCACTTCCACGCAGTTCCTCGCATGGGCGGACGTCACCATTGACTTTTCTTTGAAACTCGCCGCTGTTATGAATCACGATATTTTGCGCACTTAGAATCAATACAGCAGAGCAAAGTATTTGATTAGAAATGATCTGTTTCACTTAAATATTATTATTTGCGATATAATAATAACATATCTTACATCTTTAGATCTGCAGTTTTTTGTGGGTTTCATTTGTACAAAAACTCAAAATCAGAGCTAACCGTGCACGTGGAAGCTCTGATTTTGAGTGTAAAAAGATCACGCTCATAAAGGATCACAGTGCATATGACATAACTGTTTTTAACCTGGAGTAGAAGCCTGTCTCATATTTTCAGGAAGACTGTTCTAGATTTTAGCTGCATAAATCTGGACCAGGAGAAGGCCATTCCCTGTGCCCCTCAGAGTCAGAGAGTCTAACACGTCACAGATGAGACGCCATGGAGCTCACTAAATACATTTGCTTTTGATACAAATAACGTCAACAGCAGGATTCTAGAAGTTCTGAGCTTCATAACGAGGCACAACGAGGCTTTAATGATGGAGCTGAAGTTGTCTGGATGACACTATGAACTTGTCATTATGATTTCATTAGGTTAGCAAGGCACAGGGCCACATAAAGTGCAGCAGGTTGCGTTAGCTTGGACAGGCCTGCCCCAGACTGTTCACAGATGGACAATGCTAACCCAACAGGGAAGTGCTCATGGGGGAGGTTTTGCAATTAAATACTATAATTGAAGGCAGTACTTTAGTTTTGATCTGCAGAAAATTGCTCTTTCCACGATGTCGTAGTCTGAGGATCTGCCAGAAGGTAATCCAACATTGTGACATGGTTAAAAACTTAGAAAATAGGCCTCTCCTTTGATCTGACATTTCTGCCCTTTTGGTCTGCTTTTCTCCGTTTGTCCCTTGTATCCCAGAACTCTGCACGGTGTAGCCCTGCCCACACACACACACACGCACACACACACACACACATGTAGACACACGTGCGAACACATGCAGACACACACACACACACACACACACACACACACACACACATGTAGACACACGTGCAAACACATGTAGACACACACACACACACACGCAGACAGACAGACACACACACACACACACGCACACACGCACACACACACACACACATGTAGACACACATGCAGACACACGCACACTCACGTTCACACACGCAGACACATGCACACACACGCACACAGACAGACACATGTAGACACACGTGCGAACACATGCAGACACACACACACACGCAGACAGACGGACACACACACACACACGCACATGCAGACACATGCACACACACACACACAGACAGACACACTCGCGCACACACAGAGCAGTGGAAACTCTTCTCTTGCTCAGTTATTCAAGGATTTAGGGCTGATTTATGGTGGAAAGAGCTGATATCTTGACTTTTGACAACAATTATAACATATTTAAAATCATTTGAATGGCTTCGATTCAGACACGTTTGAGTCCATTCAAAGCATATGGCACCAGTTGATACACACAAAGCAGTACAGCTGTCTTGTTTCATCAAAATATAAACTTAGTTACTAGTTTTTTTATAGATTCAGATTCCAAAAATGTGTGTTTGATAAAGACCTTGATAACTAAATCAAGTTATAGTCGCAAGCGGCATTGAACGCCCTGTCACAACATCATCTTATTTTGATTGCACTTTGTATTTGGCAGTAGGGTTTTCTCCCTCACTGGGCTGATACCCTATTAGTAGTTGTAGTAGTAGTTTTAGTAGTACAAATACTAGCATTTTTAAGTCTGTGCATCACAAGACCAAACAATGTCATAATGTTTTAGATGACTGTGAGCGAGTGAGTGAGAATGCCAAAGTTCAATATTTCTTCCCTGGGCAGTAGTAGTAGTAGCAGCAATATTACTAGCAGTAGCATCAGTAGTAGTAGCATTAGTAGCGGTAGCATCAATAGTGGCAGCAGTAGTGGCAGCAGTAGTAGTACCACTGGCAGTAGTAATGGCAGCAGTAGTGGCAGTAGTAATGGCAGTAGTAATGGCAGCAGTAGTGGCAGCAGTAGTGGCAGTAGTAGTGGCAGTAGTAATGGCAGTAGTAGTGGCAGCAGTAGTGGCAGCAGTAGTGGCAGTAGTAATGGCAGCAGTAGTGGCAGTAGTGGCAGTACTGTAGATATTCAGAACTGGTCGGTGAATGGTGGTGGAGAGACCATAAATTTCACTAAATGTGAGGTTGTGAATCTGTCATAAAGGCGTCATAAATGCAGCAGTGGTTTCTCCAGCACTTGTGGCTCCAATGGAAAACTTTAACACAATGATTAAAAGGGTGTCATCTTTAAAACACATTTCGCTCTGTTCTTGCGGCCAATAGCGACATATGCAAACACCAATGGTCCTGGTTCAATATTAGCGATTATAATTATTCTCATATTAGTACAAGGCTGCATCCTGGAGTCCCGCCTCCCATTATCCTAAACTTGTGAACTCAGGTTTATCGCTTGTTTTTTTTTGGTGTGTGTGTGATCTTTGCCAAAATACCACACTGACTGGAACCAGGCGGATCACAGCTGCTGCTCTGCTCCTCATGTGCTGCAGACGCTCTGTGAAAATGAATTCACACAACTCACATTATGTCACACAGGTCAAAAAGAGGTACATTACTGCAAACATGTTCAAACCAGAGCACCGGGTTAGCACCTAACCCCCCGCCAGGCGACCGCTGCTGTAAACAAACCGACGTGTGCGCATCATACTCTAAGTGCGCAGGGATCCCAAAGATAAAACGAGGAAGAGTCGATAATAAGACTGGACTAAGAATGAGAATGAACATTTGCTTTCAGCCAATGAGGAAGGACTGCTTCATGTTTGTAATGAAAAGTTTTGTTGCAACACGAGGAACAATGAAGCTTTAAACACTGTTCACTGAAGGATTCATTCATCATAAAGTCAGAGCACCTATTTTCAGACTTCAAAACCTTTGCAAAGACGGTGAAAGAAAAGGCCATTAAGGACATTCAGCTCCAGCAAACTTCAGCCTGTGATGGATATGAACAGACAGTGCTGCAGGTGAACTCTGAGCCCAAAGAACATGTTTTTACTGTAAATCTACAATTGCATGAAGGCAAAAAAATGGAAGTTAAACTATAGCAGAGTCGTCACGTGGTGCGTCATTCACGACACGCTGCAGTGAAAACACACATTTGATAATCATGAATGATTATTATGTATTTGTAGCCTTTACTTTGTCATTTAGATATTAGGCTAATACAGCTGCAGCCTGTGTTACCTTCATGAAAGCCTTATACAAGGCTGTTATTTTTTTGCGGCTCCAGACAGATGTTGTTTTTAGTTTTTTTGTCAAATATGGCTCTTTGAACCTTTTGGGTTCCCGACCCTACTTTAGACCTGCTTTAGAGCTGCTTTAGAGCTGCTTTAGACCCTGCCTTAGACCCTGCTTTAGACCCTGCTTTGGACCCTGCTTTGAACCCTGCTTTAGACCTGCTTTAGACCCTGCCAGTCCTACCTGTGTCTTGCCTGAAGAAGAAAAGTAGCAGCTAATTGCTTTTTAAGACAGAAAAGTGAAAAATTCAAGTGTTTTCTACTGAGATGAAGAAGGTCTGATCTGTTCACAACATGTTACTTATTTTACCCGATGTTACTTATAAGTACCCGAGCTTTAAGTCTTTCTCTCACTTTGCCGCCCATCGATAACTCCTCCGTCAGAGAGTGGTTTTACTATGTTTGCGTCGTTTTAATACCTCCAGCTCATGCAGAGATGAAAAACAGCCCCCCCATCAGGAGCCCTGGAGCCCGGTCATTAGGGCCTGGTCCTGGTCCCGGGGAGGGGCTCCACAGATCTGGGGCCTCTGCTGTAAAGTCAATGCAAAGTGAAAGAGGATGTGTTTTTATGAGCTGATCCAAACCACACCACAGCACATGAGGCAGACCGCTGCAGCCAATCACATTCGAACAAAGAATCAATAGACAGGCCTTTCTTCTTCGTCCTGAATCAATAACCAGACCTTTCTAGTCTCTGATTGAGGCTACTTAAAGGAGCTATACCCGTTTCTGTAAGGTTTGAATGTTTAGCACCGCCTCCAAACCCGCTCAGAGGCTTCTCATTTCCACTAAGCGGAGCCTTCTAGTTGTATTTGCGATCTGATGCTAACATTAGCATTAGCACAACTTAAGCTGTACAACAATCACTGATGAAAACGTGCAAAAGCAATGTACTGCTAACAAAATATATCACTGAAAGATTACCGCTAGTTTTGCGTCCGAATGTGGTCCGAGCGTAGATAGTCCGAGCGTAGACAGTCCGAGATAGTCTGAGATAGTCCGAGCGTAGATAGTCTGAGCGTAGATAGTCCGAGATAGTCCGGGCGTAGATAGTCTGAGCGTAGATAGTCTGAGCGTAGACAGTCCGAGATAGTCCGAGCGTAGATAGTCTGAGCGTAGATAGTCTGAGCGTAGATAGTCCGAGCGTAGATAGTCCGAGCGTAGATAGTCTGAGCGTAGATAGTCTGAGCGTAGATAGTCCGAGATAGTCCGAGCGTAGATAGTTTGAGCGTAGATAGTTCGAGATAGTCCGA